ACTGAGCTGGGGCAGCTCCTCCCAAACTGCCAGTCCCACAAGTCCTGCCTCCTCCCAGAGTGAATGGGGGGGAATTACTCTGTGGTTCTGGGATCCCAGCATTAGTATCCCCTGAAAACGTTCAGAAATAGACACTTTAGGTGTAACTTCCGGAATTACGCAATCCAGCTCTGGGAGTGGGGCCCAGCTGCCTGTCTTAATCATCCGGGCAGGTGGTTCTACTGTGGGCTCAGAGGTGAGAACCGCTGGTCTAGCAGAAGTTGATCCACATGGAAATATGAGACCCCAGAAGTTTTCCCCTGGAATACCGTGCCCCTCCACCCACATCCAATCACTCCCAACCCCTTGGAAAATGAGTGACAGAGGAAGTTCCTGGTTTCGATTCGGCTTTTAGCTTACAGTTGCTCCCAGGAACACCAAGTAGACGGTCCGCACCATCTCCCCTCCTAAAGAGAAGGCCGCCGTGGAGCTGGTGTCACCGAGCCTTTCCTGGTGCAGCCCTCGGAGGCGGTGGGGGCCTGGCCCCCTCCTGTAGTCTCTAAAGACTCTGGAATGGCCGGTTACTGTAAGCCAGCCATAGAAGCACCTGACTCCTCCCGCCAAAAACTCTCTGTGGCTCCGTGTCCTTGGGGGCCAGCAGGGTGAAGTAGTTAGGGTACTGGACTCCCACATGGCCAACAGCAGTTCAAGTCCCAGACCTGGTGTCTTGAAAATCATGCCGTGCGTGTGTGCGCGAGCGCGCATGCTCAAAATCCCAGAATGAAGGAGAAGTGAGAAGGTATGGCCATCGGTTCTGGGAGGTGATTTCTCACTTTCCCTCTCGCTGTCTCTCTCTCCCCTCCCTGGCAAGCACACGCTATGGCAAAAACCTTAAAAACAAACAAACAAAATGAGCAGAAACAAAAAGAATAACTCCCTGCAGGGATGCACCTTTCCAGCCACCTCACCAGTCTGCTCACATCTCCGCCACTCTGCCTTCCCTGTCCAATAGCCAAGCCTCTTCCTGCTCGGGGACCTTCTCAGGCCTGGTGCCCTGCTGCTCAGAGGACTGTTACCCACATGCCATCCCCGCGGAGCGTCACTGACCACTGTCACGGTCTCTCTCATCACCCTGGCTGTTTTCTTCAGAGCGTGGGCCCCACCCGACGATGCCGTGGCGTGTTGACTTGCTGGCTTACTTACTGTCTTTCCCCCGGGATGGGAGAGACGCTGGGCCACGGCAGGCGTGGGGTTTACATGAGTATTCGTTGAATGAATGAATACATAAGTTAATGACTGTAGGAACATAGGAAAATGGTCTTGGAGGGAAGGGTCAGAGTGGAGTGATTCAGTCATGGGGACAGTAATGAGCCCAGAGAAGCTGCCTTTCTCTTCCCAAGGACAGGGTGCCTGAGCCCAGCTAAGGGGGCCAGGCTCCCACAGCGCCCCAGGTTTTCCACCCACTCTCCCTCTCACTCGCCATCTTGGTGGGCTCTCCCCACCTTTCCAGCTCCATCCCTTCTCCCTCCACTGTCACTGCATCACCGTCATTAGAAGCCGGCGACTCCCACCCTCCTGTTGTCTCTTTAATAAAGCAGTATTAATGGAGTTAGTTTTCAGCAGGGGCACCGCCAACTGTTGTCTACACTCTGACTCGGCCACCTACACTCACATAATTAATCACACAGGAAACCAGAGCCCGTGGGATGAGGGCTGGGGCCTGGCTGTGTGGGTCCACTCTTCCCAGAGAGGCGTGTGATGTATCACAACGGCCGCTGCCCAGCAAGGGCCCCACAATTCAGGTTGGAAACAGAACAGCCCCCAGAGCTGCTGCAGAGCGCTGTCAGTCAGGGTATAGTTAGTGCTGGGGTGGGGGCTCTTCCACCTTCAGGAGGTTGGTAGCAACGGAAAGGAAATCAAATGGGTAGGGAAGAGGCTGGGGGCGGGGGGACAGGGGAAAGACAGCATCTTCTAGAATTCTAAGCTGGCATTTACTGAGCGATGCATTAGTTATCTATAGCTATGTAACAAATGACCACACATTTAGTGACTTCCGACAACATACATCGGTCAGTTTAAACGCCGTTGCATTGAAACCTGCATTGATACAGTTCTTGTGTGGTCGGGCATCCAACCACAGCCTAGCTGGGTCCATTCCTGGAGGGCTGAGTTCTCATCTGGTAGCCTGACGGGGCGGGGGGTGAGGGAAGATCCACCCCCAGCTGCATGATTGCTGCAGTGTTCATTCTGGACGTTCACGACAGACACTCCCCGTTTTGTTCTGGCTGTTGGTCTGAGGCACCCTCGGCACTAAAGATTTCCTGTGTTTTTTTTCCCCTGTTGGCTTCCCACACATGGCTGCTTACTTCGTCGAACAACAAGGAGCATTTTGAGCAAGCTGACTAGCAAGGTGGCGCGTCATATGTCACGACAGAGTCCCAGAGTGACATCCCTCTCCTTTGCTGTCCTGGGTCCTGCCCACATTTAATGGGAGGGAGTTATACAAGGGTGTAGACACTGGCAGCAGAGAGGGTGTCATGGAACAGCCCCAGCGCCTGTTAGGGGTCTGGGGCTGGGCCGGGCCCTTTGCATGCGTTAGCTCAACCATGAAACCACCTGTAAGACAAGCGTCATCCCCATTGCAGAGACTGAGCAGCTTCGGCTCCGAGGAAAGAGAACTTGCCCAAGGGCCTGCCAGTGTTAAGACTGGAACCATTGTGGGGCCAGCAGGTGACATGGTGGATAAGGCACTGGATTCCCACATGGCCAGCCACGGTTTAAGTCCTGGACTTGGCAGCTTGAATATCACGCTGGACATGTGTGCTTGCATGCCCAAAATCCCAGGAGGAGAATGGAGAAGGCATTGTCTCTGTCTCTGTCTCTCCCTGGTGAACATGTGCACTAGGGCAAAATTTTAGGATAAAACAGCTCGTGATGATAGTATTCCTGCTTGGAGGTAACTTGTACAGGCTTAGAGGCAGGAAGGCCAGTGTCCGTACAGTGAGGTGCAAGGGTTCCAGGGAGTCAGGGAAGGTGTTAGCAAGAGGAGGGTGCGGCTCCCATGAGACGGGCAGGACAGGAGGAGAGGAGGGTGCAGCTGACATTCTGAGAAAGAAGAGAACTGAGCACTTAGTCTGATGATTGCTGTTTTCTCAGTGAGGCAGAAAACGAGGGTCTCTCCTGAGAGGGAGAGCGGGTGGAGGCTGGGCTGCAGGGAAGCAGAGCCAAGGCTGAGCAGCAGCTGTGGGGATGGGGAATGGGAACTCTGCCAGCGTGAGCGAGCGTTGCCAAGTAGAAGGCTGCTTCCTCCCTGAAGACTTGGGCAACTGGCGTGGTGGGGGGCCGCCATCCTCGCCCCGTGTGCTGTGTGCTCGTCACTCATCTGTGCTGTGACTGACGAGGGTCCATCTCCCATCAAAAGGAAATCTCGTCAGGGGCAAGGGCCTAACAGCAGTCTGAGTGTGCCTCTGTGTACCCGGTACAGGCTCCGGATCCATAAATGGCTCCTCCCGTTCCAGACCCTGAACTTCTAAATGGCTCCAGTGTCCCCTCCCACCCCAGAGGCTCATGCTGGGGTCAATTTTTTACTTTTGATTTGCAAGTGAAAGTTCAAGTGGTGCAGTGGGGGTAGGAACTGAGAGTCCTCTCCGCGCAAGACAAGGAGTTCGGAGTTGGGGCAGGGTCGCATGGATAACCTGTTGACAAAGAGGCAGTTTTGTATTTTGGCCCAGTCTTCCTGGTGCCAAAGTTCAAAAGAACCATTTCAAAATATTCCTTTTCAGGACCAGCAGTTAGCGTAATGGCTATGTCACTGAGCTCCCATGTAGCCGAGCTCCCATGTAGCCGACCGTGTTTCAAGTCCTGGACCCGGTGGCTTAAACTCACACCGGGTGCATGCACGTTTATGCCCAAGATCCCGAGAGGAGAATGGAGGAGAAGGGATTGCAGCGTGGCCATCCCCCCAGGGGAGTGATTTCTCACTTTCTGTCTGTCTTTCTGCCGAGTGCACGTGCCCTATAGCAAAAAAATAAAAGTTAAAACTTCCATTTCAGTGTGTATTTGACTGACACGAAATGTTGCCCGAGGTATACTGTTAGCTAAAAAAGTTAGGGCCATGAACACGGCACCGATTTATTTGTGCCAAGTTATTATCAAGGAGCAGAGAAGCTAACTCGAACCCGATTAGGTGAAAAATGAAATTTGAAAGGCCCAGGAGAACATAGTGGTGCCAGAAATAATTCTCCCCTTTGGCCTCGTTCTCAGGCTGCCATGGCAGATGGCTGTCAGCAGTCCCTGGGCTGCACCCTCCCCGGGACCCGTGGCAAGCCCTGAGCTCCAACCTGAATGGATCAGCTCAGGTCACATGCCCACCACGGAACCACTCCCTGTGGCCAGGCGGGTTCTGTCCTCTGATCCAGGATTAGTCACAAAATGGAGTCAGGATGCTGTGCCCCAGAGGCAGAGGCCTGGATGCCAGGGGGTTGCAGACACAACTCCAAACATGGGCGCTGCTGTCAAAGGCCCTGGTGTTTTGTGAAATCAGCCCGAACCTCATCCTGGCCTGGGACCACCACTGGAGTTCCGTCCTGGCCCACCCGGGGTGCCTACGCCTTGCCAGAGGCTTAGTAACCGCAATGGCTGGAGGAAGCCTGGGTCTCCCCGGGGCACCCAGCTGCAGCCACCTAACCTCTGCTGGCTTGGCCGCACCCACGGGATGAGTTGCTGAGGCACCTTGTCACCTCTCCCCGCTGGGGCTGGTTGAACGCCAGGCCCCCGGCCCGGGCGGTGTGCCCAGCCCTACTCAACCCCTCACCGGAGCTGGGCTGGATGTTCCTGTACCTGACTGAGGCGGGGCCCACCAGCGGAGATAACCACTCGGAACCAGGGTGCTCCTGCCTCCATGGTGTCCAGCTTCTTACCCCTGGAGACTCCACCCCAGCCAGCCCCTCCCAGGACCACTCCCCAGCCCCGTCTCTCCCATGCAGAGCAGCTGCTGTAAGACAGGAGAACAGGGACAGTCAGTCAGTCGAATGGCATTTTATTTTTCAAACCGGATCCCTCAGCTCCTGCCCGGCTCAGATCTCCCTCTGTGCAGGTTCCCGGCCGACGCGTGGTTCTCCTTCCAGGCCTGACGCTGCTTACGGTAGACTTCCAGCTCCTCCTGGTACCTGGCTCTCAGGAGGGCTGCTCTCTGTTCGTAGGGCTGCTTTTCCACGGCCGTCATTACGGTCCACATCTTCCCCGAGGCCTTTGCCACCTGCACCACCGTCCAGCTGGGGTTCTCCCTCTTCAGCTGGGCGTAATGATCTTGGCAGAAGAGTATGAAGGACGATGGGGGCCGCCGGGGCGCCTGGGGGTCTCGCTTCCTGCGTTTCCTCCTCCTGCCGACGTAGTTCATCATTTCTTCCTGGTATCGGGCTTTGTCCAGCTTGGCCAGGGCCTCATATTTGGCCTTCTCGTGCTTTGAGATGGACTTCCATTTTTCCGAACACTTTCTAGAGAACTCTTTAAAGCCAAGGTAGGTATTTGGCTGTTGCTCCTTGAATTTGTTTCTGTAATTCAGTAAAAAGTGGATGTAAGAAGAGACATTGACCTTGGGCCGTACCTGGATTTCTTTTCCCATGTTCATAAGGTCATTTTTTTTTCTGCTTCAGTATCGTGGACCACAGTGACTTCTGTCCCAGTACCCCAGGAGCGATCTAGAAGGTGCTCGACTTGCAGTGAATTATTCTCTCTGCCAGGGCCGCAGGCAGGTGGGCCTTTTCAGTGGTGGCGACATTGTTGGGTCAGAGGAGTAAACTGTGACATCACCCACTCCCTGGCCAATCCCAGCCAGCACCTGCGGATATTTGCATGCAGGTGCTCTTATTGGTTGGTTATTCGAGGGTTGGGCTTTTCCTGTCCTGAACCATGAATGGTTCCTTGAAGGAGGTTACAGAGCAGCTACTTCCCCTAGAAACTCTTCCCCTTGGCTTCCTGGAGGCCGAGGGCTTTGCTCAGCTTTGGGGGCTTTAAATCCCTGGGGCGTAGTACAAGCCACGAGGGCTGCCTTCCTCACTGTAGGACTGTCAGGATGCCGCATCACCCTTTCCAGAGACGCACTGGAAATAATGAACGCGAGGAGGCGGACGCTCCAGGGCTGTCACGATGAAATGTGAAGTCTTTCTGTCTGCCTCGAACAGTGGCAGCTCATGCCGCACAAAGGGTTTAGTAGTAACTCTAAAAATAATCAGCTGTGACAGCTGGGCCTCGGCTCCTGTCAGGACAAAGTTGTCTAATTTAAAGGCTGAGCACTCGGGCTAGGAGTCTGAACTCTTCGTTTTTCTGAAGAAATTTGAGGGGCAGGAGGGAAGAGGACAGTGAGATCTTGTTGACTACACTCAAGCGCACGGAAGTGAGCTTGGGGAGCACGTCTGGAGCCCGAGCCCTCGTGTGCAGGTCTGTTCTTAGGGTTAGAGCACGAAGCCGAGTTGGTGCATGACTTTTTCTAAAAGGAGTTGCAAACATTCCACCAGGGAAAAGAAAAGACCAAAAAAGCATCATTTATTGGCCTTGGGACACTGCAAGGTACTTGCTAGTGATGGTATTGGATTTCATCTCACTTGGTGGTTGAGGATAGCGCCAGATTTATAGGCCGGAAAACTGAGTTTCGTGAACAGAAGTAGATGCATATTCAAGGTCGAACGGCCGCCAACATGCAGCGCAGCCTTGAGCGCGCGCCTGCCGCAAGCCCAGCTCTGTCCGTGCCTGCACAGAGCTGTCCCCTGGGAGGCAGGGGTCCTGATGTGTGGTCTCAACAGCGGAGCCTGACAGGGACCTTTGCCTAAGACGAGACCACACTGAATTGCTGCCAAGTCCGTCCCCAGAGCTCCAAGACTGGCCTCAACTTCCGTCTTCTACAAAGGAAAGACGGAAACTGATCAGAGTTCCGGCCTGAGTTTTAGCCCCCGCTTGGCCGCAGGTGGCCACATCACTTGAGCCATCCCCTTCCTTCCCGTGAGCCTGTGATTTCTCAGAAAATGTGTTACGGACTGGCCAGGGAAGCCCCGGCGGTGACAGGCTACGGGTTTTGTGGATGATTTGGGGGCCTGTGAGATATTAGATGCCCGTTGAGACAGTCTGGACCTGTGAGAGGGTCTGGCCAATGGGAGCCGACTTCTCTGGGGACACTTCTCAGCCTAGACAGCTTTGTTCATCCTGGTTTTTTCTCGTAAGGGACCAGAAGTACTTGTATGTTAGACTCGAGCCGAGCCACAGAGACAGAGGAGACGTGGCCCCTTCCCAAAATGGAAAGATGGAACCTGAAGCAGGTAAAGTGTTCACAAAATCAGGCTGTGCTCCGGACTGGCCAGGGAAGCCCCGGCGGTGACAGGCTACGGGTTTTGTGGATGATTTGGGGGCCTGTGAGATATTAGATGCCCGTTGAGACAGTCTGGACCTGTGAGAGGGTCTGGCCAATGGGAGCCGACTTCTCTGGGGACACTTCTCAGCCTAGACAGCTTTGTTCATCCTGGTTTTTTCTCGTAAGGGACCAGAAGTACTTGTATGTTAGACTCGAGCCGAGCCACAGAGACAGAGGAGACGTGGCCCCTTCCCAAAATGGAAAGATGGAACCTGAAGCAGGTAAAGTGTTCACAAAATCAGGCTGTGCTCACACACACGTGCGCACGCACGCACACACACACACACACACCCCAGCAGCTTGTCTGTGCCTTTGTAACTTTCCACCCTCTCATGATGATAAGATCCAGGAAGACTAAGCCCTGATAACCATCAGGAGGCTGGCAGATATGGAGAGAGGAGGCAGAGAAAGGTCGAAGCTCTGAGGGATGAGCAGGTCCCTTATCTAGGGGAACGTAGGGAAGGCCAGTAAACCTGGCTTTCTAGATCAGCGTGCTGTGCGGGGTGTCCATGGTCTGCCCTTCCAGACCCCTGCCCAGCCTTCCCCACCCTGCTCGCCATGCTGGGAAGCTGGCCCTGATGACCACGCCAGTGGCTTCCATTTCTACTTAATATTTTTTTAAGAATTATTTATTATAATTTTTCAATTTTGATCAGAGAGAGAGAGCAAGCCATCAGGTCCGGAACTCAGACTGCAGTCGGCCCTGTGGGAGTCCAGCGGCCCTAACCACCAGACCACCTGCCCTCCATTTCCATGTAGCCAGCAGGACACTCAGTAGGGATCAGGAGCAGGGGAAGGCAAGGTCAAGGCCTTTGCTCTGCTGGCTTACTTCCCACAGGGTTCCTAGACTCGGGGTACAACTGCTGCTCCTAAATGACCCCCCCTTCCAGGTCCAGGAGCTGCTCGCCGTCCTGCCCCGTCCTGTCCAGGGTGGTGACAGGTCTGCATTTATTAGCTCTGAGTACTCTGCGAATTTTCTGCATCCTGGGACATTTCCACACTCTGCCTTTACCTCCGCAGCTAGTCTCATTATTAAACACCCCTCTTTTACTGTCATGCAGATGGTCACCTGCTTCCTGCTAGGACGGGGGCAGTCCAAGGCAGAGGGTATGGTGCTTCTGGAGACCCAAGTCCTAGCTAGTGTGATGCAGAGGTGTGCATTGCTGCGAGGGTGTGGGAAGTGGCATGTAATATCCCTTGTATAACGAGATGGTCTCTGAGCAAGGGCTTTGGTCTGGAGGGCCAGACAGTAAGTGGCTGAGGGTCCATGGGCCACAGAGCTTCTGTTGCAAGAGTTCAGCTCTGCCCTCGTAGTCGGAAGTAGCCGTGGACAGTGCATAGGCAAAGGAGCGTGGCCGAGTTCCGATCAGACTTTATCCACAGAAGTTCACCTGAGGGCCGTAAGTCTGCCAACCCCATCTAGAGGTGTGAGTTTAGTATTCTGAAACATTCTGACTGCAGTCTACCATAAATACGTTTTACATCGTGATTCACTTTCACACTCCCGTACCATTTCCACAATATTTAATAGGTGCCGGCCTCTGTCCTAAGTACGTCTCGTTCAGTTCACTTGGGTCTGGAACAGGCCTTGAGGGTGCTCTCTTTATCCCCTAAGGGCAAAGCTAACCAAACAAGTTTTGCAAAACTGTTCTCCCTACATGCGGATGTACGTATTCTTAGTCTCTGCCCTGTGACAGACGCCTCTGCTTTATGCTCTTACTTAGAATGCAGCCCACATTCCAATCTCGTCACCCACTAGTGGGTCCCAATCCATGGGGTCATCTGAAAAACTCTGGGCAGGCCGGGGGGAGCTCCCGCTTGGGACCTGTGAGACTCCTACTTGGTGGCAAGAATATGAAGTGGCAAGAAGATGGCCTTTGTAGCCAGACAGATACAAGCTCAAATCCCAGCCCTGCCACTTACCAGCTGGGTAGCTTTGGGCAAGCCCGGCTCATTACAGTCATGTCTATGAAAAGTCATGAGGGGATGAGGAAGCCCTGAGGATGAATTGAATTGAAACGATAGTAATAAAAGCAGCTGGCTGGCCCTTCCTCCCGGTGCAGGCAGGACTTAAGGACTCGCCTCTCATGGACCGGACTTGGGAAAGGCAAATGTATTTTACAGTGGGGAGAGCTGGTGGATGCCCCCCCTCAGTGATCAGAGCAAACCCCAACCATGCTGGGTCATGCTGACAGCACGTACCCCTCTCTGCGACACCAAAATAAGAGTGGTACCCCCCTTGGAAGTCTTCCCCAAATCCACAGCCTGGATCTAATCATGAGAAAATATTATGCAAACCCAGATGAAGGAACATTCCACAAAATACATGATCAGGACTCTTCAAAAAAGTGTGCAGGTCTTGAGAGAGCAAGGGAAGCCTGAGATACTGACACGGATTGGGGAAGACACAGGAAACCTGACAACTAAATGCACTGCGAGGTGCTGGAGTGGGTCCTGGCGCAGGAGACAGGTGGGCGTTAGTGGAACACGGGGACAGGGGACAAAGCGTCCCCTGTAGTTAGTGGTACAGGCCTCACGGGATGTTGAGTCCTAGTTTGGTGCATGTTCCACGGGCACGTGAACTTCCGGGCAGCAGGGTGCGGGGCACATAGAACATGCCCGTTCTGTGCCCCCGCCTGCCCTGGCCACACGTGCTCTTTGCATATCTCTGTCAAAGTTTTTCCCACATTTGGGACATGCCAGAATCCTCTAAGCTTTCAGAAATCCACTGCTTGGCCTGGCAAGAGCAGATTCCTTGGGTGGCGTTTGACGCCTGCTGAAGCTTCCTCTGGGCCAGGCCTGCCCTCCTGCTGTGAAGGGGAGCCAGGGGTCGACCTCCCCTCTAGTTGGGGTCGCTGTGGTACGGAGAAGCCTGGCTCTCCAAAGACATCCACGTTCCACAGCTCTGGACCTGTGACCGCGTCATCTCCCCTGGCAGGACGGCCTTGCAGGTGGGAGTAAGTTAAGGACGTTGCACCGAGGACACCGTCCGGATCGTCCGGGGTGCCCAGTGTCTCCGCATGATCCTGGTTCCCTTACCAGGCAGGCGGGTCAGAGCCAGAGGGGATGGCGGGACACAGCCAGGAATGGAAGTCAGAGATGACAAGTGGACAAAGAGGCCACAAGTCCGGAAATGAAGACAGCCACCGGAGGGCAGAGGCCAGCGGCGGGAATCTCAGAGGCACCGGAGTACACGGCCTTGCCAGCACCGAGATCCTGGCCCAGTGAGATCCAGTTCGGACGTCCGGCCTCCAGAATTACAAGACGATCGTGTGGTGTGTAAGCCGCAGAATGTGGAACAGCGCAGCACCAGGACACTAGCCAGTATCTTTCTCATGGAGCTGGTGCTCTGCCCGTCTCTCGTGTTATTCTTAGCCCCTGCTCGTGGTGAT